TCCTCAAGTCCATTCTCTACGTCTGTGTCTTTATTCCTGTCCTGTCCTTAGGTCCTTCAGAACTTTTTTTTTTTTTAGATTCCAAATATGTGTCAGCATACGGTATTTGTTTTTCTCTTTCTGACTTACTTCACTCTGTATGACAGACTCTAGGTCCATCCACCTCACTACAAATAACTCGATTTTGTTTCTTTTTATGGCTGAGTAATATTCCATTGCATATATGTGCCACATTTTTTTTTTTTTTTTTTGCGGTACGCAGACCTGTCACTGTTGTGGCCTCTCCCGTTGTGGAGCACAGGCTCCGGACGCACAGGCTCAGCGGCCATGGCTCACGGGCCTACCTCTTGGCCCCATAATCACTTCCATCACTGTACTTCCTCACGTCCTAGAGCCCTCCTTTCCTCCCTGACTGCTCCAGCTTCTATGGGTCTTCATCTTCGCTGGAAGGCTGCAATACTTTTAGTATTCTGCCCACAGTCTAACATGGAATATTGTTTGCTGCTTTTTAATAATGTGTATTAGCTTTCTCACTCCAACTAAATAGTCATCCATGTCAGAGAGGAGGTCAGGGCTTTTATGCACCTTCTATAACGCCACAGCTCTGGGCACAGCTTGAGCATACTGTAGGTTCTTATTAAACTTTCTACTTGCATGTGAGTCACCTGTGACCTTTCCTTTCTCCATAATAGCACAGCACATTGTTTAAACCTTGATTATACCATTTACCAGAGTTTACCTTTTATCAAAGGTAGAGCCCATACCTGTTTCTTTGGCTGCACTGGGAGTTCCTCAGGCATAGAGACCATATTGTATTCATTCTGCACAGTTCACAGCATTTAGTAAAGTGCTATAGTAAGAAGAAGCTCAAAAACTTTTTTCCCCAGCCTGAATACTTTTATAGAACTGAGAGAAACAATTCATACATTTGAAAGACAGATCCATTGTGAAGATAATGGTAAATTAAAAAAAAAGAGATTTCTATAACCAATTAGCTCTTCCATTTATAATTAAACATTTATAATTGAAGTTGTAAAAATTTATTTATTTTAAAATTTTAGGTACAAAGAACTAGTCTTTCTCTCAGCAGATAGATGTTTTGGATAATCCATTCAAGGAAAATCATTTAGTCCAACTTGATGAGTCCTGTATCCTTCTTTTAGTGTTGTAAACACTGGCTGCATGTATTGAGGCCATATTTACAGATCAGACCATTCTGGTTTGAGCGATTTGGAAAAAGTGGGAAACACAGCTGAATTTTTGAAGGTGGTTCCAATAGAGCTGCTGGTGATCCATCTTGCTTTCAGGGGAGCAGTGAGTCAAAAACAATTGGTTTTTTGGTTTGTTTGTTTAATTTAATCAAATTCTTTAAGATCCCGCTCTGGATCTTTCTCCAGGATATAACAACAACAATAGTAATAATAATAGCAGCTAATGCCTACCTAACATTTATATATCCCTTACTCTATGCCATACACTGTTCTAAGTGTTTTTGCTCATTTAATGTTTACAACAACCTTATGAGCAGGACTGGGACTAGGGGTGGGGCAAGAGAGGCATCTGGGGAAACAAAATTTAAGAGACACTGACTCAGAGACACACAAGTGCACTTCTGCACCCTAGGTGCTTCTCTTGCTTCAACCTGGTCCTGGCCATGCTTATCAAGAAGGTACTAGTATATACCCCTTTTTCAGATGAGTAAACTGAGGCACTGAGTGATTAAGTAACTTGACTAAGGTCACACAGGTAGTGGCAGAAATGGGATTTGAATCCTAGAAGTCAGGCCTCAGAATTTGCTCTTAACCAGTCCCCTACACTGTCTTTTTTTTTTTTGCGGTACGCGGGCCTGTCACTGTTGTGGCCTCTCCCGTTGCGGAGCACAGGCTCCGGACGCGCAGGCTCAGCGGCCATGGCTCACGGGCCCAGCCGCTCCGCAGCATGTGGGATCTTCCCGGACCGGGGCACGAACCTGTGTCCCCTGAATCGGCAGGCGGACTCTCAACCACTGCGCCATCAGGGAAGCCCCTGATGTCTCTTTTTTAACACTAGTCTACCTTGATCTCCTATCCCCTGGTTATCAGCACACTCCACTACTTTTTCCTGCACCAGAGGAATACTGTGGTCAATGCTCATAGGTCTCCGTGTGTAGTAGGATGAGAACTGTGGCCTGAGGTTGGGCTGGCCCTATTGGACCTGGCCTTCTGGACCACTCTCCCATCCCTAGTTCTTTTCCTTATTCTTACTGTTTTGGTAATTCTGGTAATTGGTAGAAAACCCCTACCATGTGGGTAGCATCTATAATGGTTACAGTCTGCTGCATATTTACTGCTTGCACTGGAGCTCCAGTAGGGTCTGTAACATTTGCTACCTCCATACCCTTTTCTCCTCAAAACATCAAACTCCACAGTGTCTCCATCTCCTACATTGCAAAGTTGGATACATATTGTATCATGTATTAGTACCTCATTCTTTTTTATTACTGAATAATATTCAACTTTACAGCTATTCTACACTTTATCTATTTGTCAGTTGGTAGACATTTTGGTTGTTTCCACTTTGGGGCTTTTATGAATAACACTGCAATTAATATTCATTTACAACTTTTTGTGTGAATATACATTTTCAATTTTCTTGGGTATAGGAGTAGATTTGCTGGGTTATGATAGCTCTGTGCTCAGCATTTTGAGAAACTGCTAAATTGTTTTGCAAAGTACCTTACCATTTTACATTCCTGCAAGTAAGTTTCTCTAATTCCAGTTTCTCCACACCCTTTCTGACACTTGTCACTGTCTTTTTGATTTTAGTCATCCTAGTGGATGTGAAGTGGTATCTCATTGTGATTTTCATTTCCTTGAAAGGTTAATTATGTTGAAATTTTTTTTCATGTGCTTATTGGACATATGTAAATCTTCTCTGGAGAAATGTCTAGTCAAATCCTTTGTCCATTTTTAAGCTGGGTTGTCTTTTTATTGTTGAATTTTAAGAGTTCTTTATATATTCTGGATACAAGTTATACTATTTATATTTAATATGATTATTGATGGGGTTTGGTAGAAATCTACCATTTTGCTATTTATTTCCTATTCTCATTTTTCCTATTTTCTTTTTCTTTTTTCGTGTGGATTGAGTTTTTAAAAAATATTTTATTCCATCTCCACTATTACCTAATTAGCTATACCTCTTTATTTGTAGCTGTTTCTCTAGCATTTATAGTATATATCTTTAATGTAGCATACCATCAAATAAAATACCACTGACTACATAATATAAGAATCTTTCAAACTTACATTTTCCTCCTCCCAGCCTTTTTGTTATTATTTTCATATATTTTACTCCTGCATGTTACAAAGTCCACAATGCATCATTATTATTTTTGCTCTGAGTAGTCAAAATTCTTTTAAGGAGATTTAAAAGCTAGCTGGTTACAAAACATCTTGATACTCTTTGCCTTGAGGTAGGCAATCTGTGAAATGCTCTGGACATTTTTTTGGCTCTGAACTTTTACTCAAGCAGTAGAAAAAACAAAGAGGTGTTGAGTCAGATATTTCTGGAAACTAAGTTCCAGGCTGCTTATTGGTCTTTTGGGAGCCCATGGATTGATATCAATTACTTAGTATTCATGGGTGAGCTTTCACCTGTCAGTGAACTTTTTGAATCCCTGGTGTGTATTGCAAATTACCAAAGGTTTGGAGCTCTTTCATATCTGGAGTCTCCTGGCTTTATTGTCCACTTATTAAATTGCTAAGTGAATGGGACTAATAACAGGAAATTCATTGGAATGGAAGACTTTTAATAATACCCCTGAGTATTCATTGATGGCAAGTTCAGTTATAGTCATGCAATGATCACTTCAAAATCCTATGTCAGATAGATAAAAATCACAAAGCTTTCAAGACTGAAATCCACAGTGCAGAGTTTTGTACTCTGTGATTTTACATCCGAGGCTTCTGTAACAGGGTATAAGAGGAGAAATGAATCATTAGAGGAGGTACAGGAATAGATGGTAAGTGTTTGATGTCAGTGGAAAATCTATATTAAACAAGCAAGATAGGTCTATAAACAAATGTTACTGATTATACATTGAAGAATATTGCTTTGTCCTTTATGAGACAGTCAGAGTTTAATAGTGCTCCTGGGTTGATTGATTTGATTTAATGACACAGAGTTTTCCTATCCTCTTTCTGCCTCATCTCTATAAGGTGATAATGGTTATTGTTACTTATTTAAGGTGGATACTGAGGGAAGGAGAGAGAAGATAATAAGATCTTCAAGAGAAGTTTATCTCCTGAGAATGATAAATGAACAGTGGTCTTCCTGTGTAGCTAAACTTTCCTAAACCTAAACCACATTTTCACCTCTAAAACGATTGCAAGGAAGGTAATTGTATTAGCTAGGATTCTCCAAAGAAACATAACCAATAGGATCTCTCTCTATATATATCTATTTATCATCTATCTGTCTTTCGATTGAAATAAATTTTATATATCTATCTATCTCTATCTCTATATATGGAGAGAGAGAGAGAGTGTGTGTGTGTGAGAGAGAGAAAGAGAGAAAGAGGGAGAGATTGATTTATTTTAAGGAATTGGCTCAGGAGATTGCCGGGCCTG